AAACCATGATTGTAATGTGAAAGTTTTGGTAGAATATGGGATAAATGCACTCATACCGCCCTGTATAACCCCAGCAATGCTGTCAGCACATATCGAGGCGTCCCGAGTGGAAAAGCAACATTCATCCCAAGGAAAATCTGTGAAGAATTCTCGCAAGGATTGCCAGCTTGCCCTCCGATAGTGCCATAGTTGATGTTTAGAGGAGGGTGGGGGAGGTGATCGTGCCCAGTTTGATTTAATAGAAATAAGGTTGTGATCAGAAGACCCTAAGGGGGCAGAAATTGAGTATGAATAGTGTGAGCAGTTAGAGGTAAAACAAATCTCAAGAATGTTAGCAAGTTGATCGTGTCGATCAGGAACGCGTGTAGGGTATTTGATTATTTGTTCCAAATTATTAAGTAGGGAAAAAGAGAGTGCCTCAGCTCCACCTGCTCATCCCTTGCAGAACCAAGCCACTCTCTGTGATGTACATTTATAACCCCTAGGTAGAGGATCTCGGTGTTGGGGTGTGTGGATAGCAATGACTCATGGCAAGAAGTGAGATAGTCAAAGAGTTCGAAATAGTTGGTAGAGTTGGGAGAACAGTATAGAAAACAAAGAAAAATAGTCACAGTAGGTAGAGATATTTTGAGCCAGATGACATCATAAAGAGAAGATTCAAGATCCGTGGGTCGAGCTACAGGTGTACGTGTGTTGCAGTAGGCGCATACACCTCCCTTAGAAAGGAAGGAAGTATAAAGGTTGTAGGTGGAGACTTGAAAAGGTTTGGGTGAAGCTGCTTTGTTCAGTTGAAGTTCGGAAAGTAGTAAGAGGTCGGGGGAAGAGGTTAATAGATGGTGCTCCATAGAAAGAAAACTGGATCTCAGTCCGCGAATGTTGGAAAAATGAAGTGTGAAAAAAGCCGATCCTCCAGCAACAGCGGTGGCGTCAGTTGAGGCCCCAGTAGCTTGATGATGATCTGGTCGGCCCTGGGATCCACAACCTTCCCGACCAGTGGGACCCATCTGAGAAGGCCCCCAATAAAATAGAATAAAATAGAATGAATAAAACAGATCAAGAATGAGTACGGTTATATTTGTGGTGTTGTCAATAGTAAGAGAGACAGTTGAGACCCTGCAATTGTGTGTAAATAAGGCAGAAAGATAGATGAGCAACCTGGGACTTGGTGACAATTTTCGTAATGCCATATGACAGCAGGGTCTACCATTAGACAACACATTATGCTTCCGATATCTTCCCAGGAGGTAGTACCTCCCTGTTTGGTAGCTTCCTACTACCTACTACCTTCCATAAATAAATAAATATATATATATATATATATATATATATATATATATATATATATATATATATATATATATATATATATATATCATGTAAATCCACAATGAAAACGTGGATAAGATAAATCTTGATAAAATCACACGGGAAAATGGAAACAACGGAGTACCTTAGCTTTCGTCTTTATTCAAGACATCTTCAGAGGCAACTGGATTACATGGACAGAGAGAGGCTTAAATATACAGGGTGACCTAAAAACATGAGGTCAGGTCATAATGATGACATCCACTAATCCCCACACCAACACACACGAAGAGGAGCTTAAGAGAAGGGTGGTGACGTGACTAGTCAGGTCAGGTCAAAATTAAGGGACCCACAAAATAACTATTATACATCTAGATCAAAGGTTTTCAAGCAGTGACTTAATTGATAAACTCAAGAAACACAACGAACCTTGCGAATTAATAAGTTTTGATGTAAATTCACTGTTCACTAGAGTACCTGTGAAAGACTTACTTTCATTTCTTAAAGATAAATTACAACTGCTAGATTTAACTATTGAACATGATACTTTCCTAAAATTGATAGAGTTATGCGTAACTGACAATGTGTTTAGAGCAAATGGGAAGTTCTACAAACAAATATTTGGCATGAGCATGGGTAATTGTCTTTCTGCTCCTCTAGCCTGTATTTATATGGAGTTTTTTGAGTCTAGATTACTACCCAATATAGTGGACTTTATTCCTCCATGGTATAGATATGTAGATGATGTTCTTTGTCTTTGGCCTAAAAACAGTGACCCTTTGGAATTTTTAGACAAGCTTAATAATATTGTCCCTAGTATCACATTCAAAATTGAAAGAGAAATAAATGAATCCCTTCCATTCCTTGATATGCTTATCATGAGAAATGGCCAAAACTATAAATTTAAGGTATATAGAAAGCCCACACAGGTAGACAGTTTCATTCACTTTTTATCCAATCACCTTGAGTCTACCAAAATGTCAGTTTTTTCTGCTATGTTCCTAAGATGTCTGCGTATTTGTGACTCTGAATTTATTGACGATGAATTGAAACACATTCGTTCTATTGCACAGAAACTTGGGTACCCTTCTGTGTTTGTTGATCAATGTTTTAAAAGGGCTAAAAAATCCTTTCATTCCTCTCAAACCAGACAAGTTCCTACACTTAAGAATATTTTGACTCTGCCCTATCGTATTGAATTTGTCCCGTTAGTTCGGTCCCTCAAGCTTCTAAATATTAATGTTGTTTTCAAGTATGACTCAACCATTACCAATATGTTAATAAAGAATAGCCCAAGTTTGAATGTAAATGGAAGTGTTTATTGTATTCCATGTAGCAAATGTAATTGTAATTATGTAGGTCAGACAGGAAAAACACTGCAGCTCAGAATCAAACAACATAAGTATAATATCAGAACTGCATCTGAAAGCAGTGCCTTGTTCGTTCATGTTAGGAATAATAATCACCCCATTGCTTGGGAAAAAAGCTTAGAAGTATTCAAATCATCTTGTGTCACAGAAAGACTTCTGGTTGAAGCTAGTTTGATTAAGGAATTAAAATCAATAAACCTTAGTGATGGTCAGTTCAAAACTGATAATATGTTACATAAATTTATTTGTCAGTGGCCCAAGGTTAAAAATGCTTTGAAAACCTTTGATCTAGATGTATAATAGTTATTTTGTGGGTCCCTTATTTTTGACCTGACCTGACTAGTCACGTCACCACCCTTCTCTTAAGCTCCTCTACGTGTGTGTTGGTGTGGGGATTAGTGGATGTCATCATTATGACCTGACCTCATGTTTTTAGGTCACCCTGTATATTTAAGCCTCTCTCTGTCCATGTAATCCAGTTGCCTCTGAAGATGTCTTGAATAAAGACGAAAGCTAAGGTACTCCTGTTGTTTCCATTTTCCCGTGTGATTTTATCATATATATATATATATATATATATATATATATATATATATATATATATATATATATATATATATATATATATATATATACCACATTAGCAATTTTTGCATTACCTTAATGATAACTCTGAAAATCGTGAGATCTATACTTAGCTGTTTTATAAAAGAAAGGGAGAGGAGGGGAGAAGCAATTAACTATGTCCATCCACCCAAACTACAAATTGTGAACTGAAATGGTCGGTTTAGCCTGGGTTCGATAGCGTTGTTCAGGCTAGGTTGGATTCACTCGGGTTCATTCAGTCTGTAGCAAGGCTGAATTAGAGCATGGGTTGTAAAATGCAAACTAAAAACTTAACGTAGTGATGGACTGAATAACACCGCGGTAAATGTCACAGGATTAAAAGAGCCACCTGGCGAGAACCAAGAACTAAACATGATAATAAAATGTTAATAAAATATAAATAATATGGGTGGCATTAGTTGAGAGACTGTAAGGAAGAGGTAATGGCTGACACTCACATCGTTGAGAATGATACTGAGGACAGGGTCCTTCACCAGCTCGTTCAGCATGCTGTCTCTTCGTAGTAGCCTTTGCACGTGGTCTCTGAAATGAAAAATATTAGAAAAAATAATTGTCTTCGTACATTAAATATTTAAAGAACCCTTGAAAAAATCTAAAATTGCTATTCTGCTTTGAGGACAGAAACATTAACAAAATAATCTAAGACACTCAATTTTCATATTAAACGTACATTTAAAAAAATTCAACTAGGCGTAAATAAGAACTTACAAGTGCTAACATGCTTATCCGATGTGGCGACCTATGGTGTAATGGTCAGCATTCTAGCCTCTCCAGCTAGCGGATCCAAGTTCGATGCTCGGGCATGGTGAAACTATGGGCAAGTTTCTTTGCGCCGTTTGCCTCTGCCTACCCAGCAGTAATTGGGAACCTGGATGTTAATGGATTTGCGGATCGTATTCCGGGGTAATGGTTAGCCAGTGAAGTTGTCCGGTCTTCTCGGACTATTGCTCGTTAACTTAGGGTGTGGTTGTTGTGTTGGCGACAGCTTTTACACCTTAAACAAATTCACGCCAAGGTGGCCCTTGGGCCGGCCATCCTCGATTTCGAGGGTCTTCCATTATTATATATATTGGATGTGGAAAACAAATTAGCTTATCTTCACTCAAAAGTTCTCGCTTGAGATTGTAGGTACAATATGAAACTTTGCCATCATGCCCTTTTTGTAGAACACAGAAACTTAAGGGACCTCTTGACCAATATTGGGCAGCCCCGTTTACACCCAACCCCTATCGTTTTTATATCTGTCCAACCTACAGGTATATTTGAAGCTACCCAGCATGTTCGAGTTAATGATGATGTTTGGTAACTTGTTCCACTCATCCACTACTCTATTTCCAAATCAGTGTTTACCTATCTCCAGCCTAAATCTAAATCTGTCAAATTTAAAACCACTGCTACGAGTTCGTTCTTGGTTGGCTAATTTAAGTACCTTTGTTATATCTCCTCTGTTTAACCTAACTTCCATGTATACACCTCAATCATATCATCCCCCACTCTTTGTCTCTCCAGGGAGTGCAAATTCAGATGTTTAATCTGTCTCTGTACTCAAGGTTCCTAATGCCCGGAATTAGTCTTTTCATCTCTTCTGTATGCTTTCTAGGGACCAAAACTGAAGTGCATAATCCAAGTTTTAGGATAACCTCGCTATTTTTGTAACTAACACTCCTGTGGATGAACCCAAGTACTTTGTAAGCCTTGTTTCGAGCAAATACACATATTTGTCTTTGATTAAGATTCCTACTTATCATTACCCCTAAATCTTTCTCACGGTCGAATTTCTCCATAACGCCGTTGTTCATTCCATTTGATATCAGGTTTATCTGTTTACATCTCCTAGACTAAGTACTTTGCATTTGTTCACATTAATTTTCAGCTCCCATTTTTCAGACCATGGAAAAATTGTTTATTCCTGTAGTTTTGCCAGTCCTGGTCAGATTTAATTACACGCCCTATTTTAGTGTCGTCAACAAATTTACGTATGTTGCTGTCTACACCTATATCTACAGTATGTCGTTTACGTATATAATAAATAGTAATAGTCCAAGTACTGAGTCTTAGGGTACTCCACTAGTGACCTTAAGGCTGCTCTCTGTTTCCTGACCTGTAACCACGCCCAAATCCAGTTTAGAACATCTCCAAAGTCATGAGCCTCCACTTTACGCATTAGTCTTTCATGGGGGACCCTGTCGAAGGCTTTGCTAAAGTCGAAATAAACCACGTCATAATCGTGTCCGTCATCCAATGATTCGAAAACAGCTGAAAGAATGATAATACATTTGTCAGATATAACAGCCGACTTGTGAAGCCATGTTGGGAATCATTGATCAATTAGTGTTTCTCGAGGTGATTTCGAATTGAGTTTGAAATTATTGCTACCAGCAATTTGCCTACAATTAATGTTAACTAATCGGTATCACATTCGATATCCTCCAGGATTCTGGGACTACACCGGGTTTTAATGACATGTTAAACAAGTTTGCCAAGTGCATACTAATTTCTTCTTACAATCCTTTAATACTCTGGCAAATATCTTTTCGGGACCTGGCGACTTATTATGTTTTAATTTATGTATTTGTTTACAAATATCGTTACTAGTCATTCCTATCTCGCTTAATTTACCCTGTATTTTCTTCATTATCTAAATAATAATAATAATAATAATAATAATAATAATAATAATAATAATAATAATAATAATAATAAACGGTTTATTGAAAAAGTTTGCAGCCCGAAGGCTGAAAATATACATTGGACATAAATAACTTATTACATACATTGGTGGTTTAACAAAAGCCTTCATTAGAGAAAGGTGAAGGAACATACAGTGAACATACAGATTAATGTTTACACACGTAGATCATGTGAGCTGAGGTGTTGAACAGCAGACACGTAGTGTAGTAACTCCCTCACAGATGGCGTTATGAGGGGCATCACGTGGAGTACTAGTTCCCTCACAGGTGGTGTTATGAGGGGCTTGACGTGGTGTAGTAATTCCCTCACAGATGGTGTTACGAGGGGCCTGATGATGTAGTAGTTACCTCACAGATGGTGTATGAGGGGCCTTATGATGTAGTAATTCCCTCACAGATGGTGTTATGAGGGGCCTGATGTGGTGTAGTAATTCCCTCACAGATGGTGTATGAGGGGCCTGATGTGGTGTAGTAATTCCCTCACAGATGGTGTTATGAGGGGCATCACATGGCATAGTACTTCCCTCACAGATGGTGTTATGAGGGGCATCACGTGGTGAAGTAATTCCCTCACAGGTGGTGTTATGAGGAACTTTACAGGATGCTGTAGCAACTCATTCACTACGTGGTGTCGTAGCATCATGGGGACACCACGTGGTCAGTTGTCACAGGACTTCACTCACTCAAGTGGGTGAGGTGTGGTCCCAGGCTTTTCTATCGTGGAGTCTCAGGGGAATTATCACTGGGTACCTGGGACCTCACTGTGTGAAGGTTAGCTTGGGTAAGACTCAACTGCCGAGTTTTTTTCACTGACTTAAGCACTGTTCACCACTATTCAACACTGGTTCCATTCCTTTCCCAAATGTCTTGGGTATCATATTTTAAATTTCGCTTGTGAAAACTGATGAAAAATATCTGTTCAGATTATTGCTCATTTCTCCATTAGTATTAGTTAGTTCGCCGGTATCTGTCTGTATTGGCCCAACCTTGCCTCGAGTTTTAGTTTGATACATTTCGAAGAATCTCTTAGGGTTTGACTTCGCCTCCCTTGATACCTTAGGTTCATTATTCCCCTGTTTTTTATCCCTGTCTCAACCCTACTGGCCAATACTTTATAATAATCTCGGAGGTAAACTATACCATGATTTATTCTCCTACCTATAGCCTTCCTTTGTCCAATAATATTCTTTAAATAATTATTTATCCATTTAGAGTCACTGTTATTTGATCTGAGTGCCAGCCAGAGTTGCCACCCCATCTCTAGATAAATGTATCCCATCCCTAAAATAAAGGTCCCTCCTGCCATAGAAGTTGTCCCAGTTTTCAATGACTGGAACTGTTGACATCAACTGCTCTCGACAACCATTCATTGCCAACTCTCCTAGCTGGATACCACATATGATAGGGATCCCTCCCTTCCTCCTAATCCAGTCAATAGCTGCCTTGAACCAATCAAGGAGCTCCTCGTTCCTACACCGCCCAATATCATTGCCTCCTGTACTGAGGCAGATAATGGGTTTGTTTCCATCACCAGGCATAATATTGTCCATCCTATCAACTATATCTCCAACCCTAGCTCCAGGCAAACACACACTCATCCCATTTCTGTTTTTAGCACAGTACGCTCGATCTCGGTACCTTACCTGAGAATCCCTATTAATTTAGATATTCGTGCCCTCTTTGTCAGCCTATGTTACCATCCATTTCGTCTATCAAAGAACGAAAAAAGTTAGTACACTTAGCTGTTGTCGATTCTTTGTTGTCTTTTTTCACCACCAGTTTGGTCGTTCATTTCCTCACGACCATCCATTAGTCTGTGTTGTCGTGAGACATAGACTCTCCCCATCTTGTATCTTCCTCTTTCATCCTCGGAATCACTTCCATTAACCTCAAGTTTTCGCCCTTGACCTTCATTAGCTCTGCCTTCAAGGAGACACAGAGCTGCTCACATCTAACACTAGCCATTGCACTGTCAGTTAATCCCCGGTAGCTATATAATCAGCCGTGACCTTTCCGTCACCTTGACGCCATTCACTTTTGTCGGATCACCAGTATGGCTTTCGCCAGGCGAGAGCTATTGGTGATTTGCTCTCCTACTGCACCCATCTTTGGTCATCCTCTCTTAGGGATTATTGGGAACTTAAAACGTGTCCCTCAACATCTCCAAAGGATTTGACAGGGTATAAGAACATAAGAACATAAGAATGGAGGAAACTGCAGCGGGCCTATTGGCCCATACTGGGCAGTCCCGTTTACACCCAACCCCTATTGCTCATATGAGCATCCAACCTATGTTTGAAGCAATTCAGCGTATTCGAGTTAATGATGATATTTGATAACTTGTTCCATTCATCCACTACTCTGTTTCCAAACCAGTGTTTACCTATTTCACGCCTAAATCTAAATTTGTCTAATTTAAAACCATTGTTACGAGTTCGCTCCTGGTTGGATAGTTTGAGTACCTTTGTAATGTCTCCTTTGTTTAGCCCTGACTTCCACTTATACACCTCTATCAGGTCGCCCCTCGCTCTACGTCTCTCGAGGGAGTGCGATTAAGATGCTTTAACCTGTCTCTATACTCAAGGTTCCTAATGCCCGGGATTAGTCTTGTCATTCTCTCTGAATTCTTTCCAAGGATTCTATATCCATTCTGTATCTGATGACAGAACTGAACTGCGTAATCCAGGTGTGGTCTCACAAGAGCAAGATACAGTTTTAGGATGACCTCGCTAGTCTTGTAACTAACACTCCTTTGTATGAACCCAAGTGCTTTATTAGCCTTGTTTCGAGCAAAAACACATTGTTTACTTGGCTTAAGGTTCCTACTTATCATTACTCCTAAATCTCTCTCGCAGTCGGATTTCTCTATGGCATCGT